ACCCGTCATTTCTCAACGCCTCAGGCAGCCACCGACTCGGAAGTTCTAGCCAAAAGCCAGCGAATACTATACGTCCAGTAAATTAATGCTTCTATGTACACTATCCAATCATGTCCAAAAACGCCCTTCTAAAACAATAAGAACTCTAATAATGCCAATACCCGGGTGAGATTGCGCCAGTATCCCAAATCAATCAATGCTTTCATCAGATGCTACCTATGTGAGGCGCGTGGAGGGAGGAGAATCCCATATCGCAAGATGCAGTCAAGTCCCACCCTCGATAAAGATAGAAATCTTGTCATAGATGATCCGGCACCATCACTCTCATTATGAAGGGGTGTCTTTGGTTCTTTTCGTGTGCTTTCTGGTGCAACAGTGCCTGCCGTGTTTCAGTCGCTCACCTTCATTAGGTCTCCAGCGACTGGTGGATCACACTCGTTCGATACGTCTCACTGCGCTGGATCAGCTCCTGATGGGTTCCTTGTTCCGCACAGCGGCCCTCCTCAATCAGATAGATCTGATCCGCTCGGTGGATCGTGTTCAGTCGATGCGCGATCGCGACAATCGTCGTGCGGCCCGCTAGCGTCGTCAGGGCTTCTTGGATCTTCTTCTCTGACTCCACATCCAGTGCGCTCGTCGACTCGTCCAGCAGCAGCAGCCGTGGCTTGCGCACCAGCGCGCGTGCAATTGACAGGCGCTGGCGCTGCCCGCCTGAGAATTGCTTGCCGTCGTGGCTGCACATCGTCTGGTACCCGTCCGGCAGGGCCATAATTACGTCGTGGATGTGCGCCATGTGACACGCCGCTTCAATCTCTTCTTGTGTCGGTTCATGGCCAGGGCAAGCACCCAGACCAATATTGAATGCGACCGTTCCTTCGAACAGAACATTCTCCTGCGGCACCAAGGCGATATCATCCCGGAACTCAGTGCCTAGCTGCCGAGTCACGTCTACTCCGTCGATGATTACCGACCCGGCTGCAGGACGGTAAAATCGCTCCAGCATGGCAAAGGTCGTCGATTTGCCCGATCCGCTAGGTCCGACCAGCGCACAGAATTGACCGGGCTTGATGTCCAGGGTAAGTCCTCGTAGAATCGGACGTTCAGGCCGATTGGGATAGGTGAAATGCACCCCACGAAGCTGGGCGCCGATACCGTTGCCATTCGTCTGACGTCCACCCCGACGGGGCTTCTCTGCGGCCTCCACATCCTGTGTGGCGGCCTTTTCCTCAAGCAAACTGCTTGAGGGCTGCATGCTCTGCGTGGAACCCGGAGCCAGCTCCTCCTCCGCGGAGCGGGTAGTGAGCAGGTCAACAATGTTAGACGACGCCAGACGGGCCTTGGAGATATCCGGCGCCAGAGCAAACATTTGACCACAAGACTGCGTACTGAATAGCAGGCAAGGGAGGACAATAAAGAACTGAGTCTGGGAGTAGAGCCCCGATGCCACCTGCTTCGACCCCCACCAATACGCGAGGGCATACACCAAATTGCTGATGCTAAACGCCAATGCCAACCAGGCATTGCCATGTGCAATAGCTTTCATTGTGTCCCGGTATGGGCGGCGCAGGGCTCGGACGAACACTTCCTGGGATTGCTTCTCAAGGGAGAATGCCGCAACAGCACGAATGTTATCGACGGCCTCGACTGTGATGGCCGTGGCCTTGGCAAATGCCTTCTGATGCCGCTCAGTGAACTTGGCTTGAACGCGGAGCTTCATCATGCCTGCTATAAGTAGGACGGGTATGGTCGGAAATAAGACAATAGTGATTTTCCACGCGATAGCAAACGATATCACCAACCCGGCTACCAGGTTGACCGCTGTAGCAAGGAGGAGACCTATAGTCGATCCGGTAATGCCACTCAGAGAAGCAGCATCACCAGTGATATAAGTAATCAAAGTCCCTGGAGTTCGGTCCTCCATACCATGCCATTGTATGGTCTGGCTCAGCAGCGATCGTAGCGACAGCACCCGGAGCCGATACAGAATCTTATCCGCTGCCCAGCCAAAGGCGCAGCCGCCCACCACATTTGCCGTGAGCTCGACCAGGGCAAGGATGAAAAAGAGCAACCCATAAAGGTTGCCACTATCGCTGATGGCATCAGAAGATCTGCATGGGCTCAGACTGCCAACTGTGTGGCCAAACACGATTGCCTCGGCCGAGTAGCTACCTCCAATGATGACGGACATACAGAGCCCGAGGCAAATTAAGGGAAGGTTGGCCCGCACCAGAGAGAACGTGTACTTGATGGTGAACCAGCCTGATCGCTTCCTCTTCTTGTCTTTGCTCCCATCACCATCTGTGGAACCAGGAGGTACCTCACCGCACACCGTGTCTTCAGTGATGTCTGAACCCCCAATGCCTACCAAGGCTTCCTTTTCGTCTGTCGGCTGCACACTCTCGTGAAGGCTGCTCGTGGTGATCATATCGTGAGGGCTCTTCAAATCTTCAACGCTCAATTTACCCAGGTTTTGCAGCCGTACCATTTCTGCGTACACGCCGCCCTGCGCCACGAGCTCCGCGTGAGATCCTTCCTCTGCGACACGTCCAGTCTGTACGACAACAATCTTGTGTGCATTTTTGGCAGTAGCTAGTCGATGTGCGATCGAGACTGTGGTTACCGTTTCGGATACTTTGGCCAGTGCAGCTTGGATAAGTTGTTCGCTGGTGGAATCCAAGGCAGCCGTAGCCTCGTCGAGAATGAGTAAAAACGGTTCTCGCACAAGAGCACGAGCAAGAGCAATTCGCTGCTTCTGGCCTCCACTAAGTTGATTTCCTGCTGTTCCAACATGGGTTGCGAACCCGTGAGGCAAAGCATCGATGAAGTTTAACGCATTAGCGCTGGCGGCAGCCTCCCTGACGAGTTCTACAATCTCGGCAACACAAGCGTCGAAGCCGGTAAGAGCATTGTTCTCGGACATGCCTTCCCTGATCTTTACAGCAAGATCCGAAAGACTTTCATCGAGAATGAATGGAGCGAGCCGTTGATGCTTCTCTGCGGATGAAGCCACCAGGCCGTACGCGATATTCTCCAGAATAGTTCGATCCAACAAAGCCGGTTCTTGTTGAACGAAACCAATATTGCCTCGCAAATGTCGAACATTGAGATCTCGGAAACTCTTCCCTCCGATGGTCACATCGCCTGATGCAGGGTCATAGAACCGTTCTAGGAGGGAAACCACGGTTGACTTTCCACCACCAGAGGGTCCAACAATGGCGGTATGCTTCCTAGGAGGGATGACAAAACTCATTCCCCGGAGTACTGGAACGTCTGGCCGAGCTGGGTATGAAAAGTGAACATCATTAAACTCAATGTTCTCCTCCCCGAAGGCAGTCATTTTATCACCGTCGTCTGCGGTCCCATCAATGGCAGAACGCCGATTGATCACGGCTAGAAGTCGTTCCGAGGCACCGGCTGCTGACGCAAAAACATGGATAAAGGGGGCGACCTGACTCAGAATGAAGGAAGCATCGATGAGAACGAAAATGACAGTGTATACAGCACCCACAGATATACCTGAGTTATCGTGGGCAACGGAGTTCGAGATCATCTGGGAACCTTCCCAGAAAGCCAAGGCGTTGGCTGAGTATGCAACAAAGTACAAGAATCCAAGTTGCGTAGCATGCGTACCTGCCTTTTTGAGGGCATCCATTGATGACCTGGAGAGATAAGTGGCAAATCGCTGCTCCAAGCGGTCGTTGGCATTGAAAGCATGAACCAAGGTCAGATGCGATAGACTGGACGAGGCAATCGACGTAGCGGCATTGATATTGGCTGTGATCCGGCTCGCATACTTTTTGATGAAGTGACCTCCAACCAGCGACATGAGGAGAAAGCAAGGCACCACTGATACCAGCATGCCCGCAATCTTCGGCGCCTTGATGAAGGCCACGATATAGGCGGTCACAAAGTATGAAATAGTGGAGATCACCAGGCCCACCTTCTCCGAGGTCCCCATTTGCACTGTCTCGATGTCACTGACCAACCGGGAGATCACATCGCCCGAAGGAAGTGACTCGATAAAATTCATGTCCTGCCTAATGATACTCTCAAAATACCGCCTGCGATAACGGCGCGCCAGACGTTCGCTTACCAAGCACCAACATGACGTGTAGATATAGATGATGAAGAAGTTCGCTATGGTGATATAAATCACATAGAGAACCTCGGTGCGTACACTGGACGATAAATTCGATGAGGCATTGTCCGAGGTGGAACAATTGGTCGAATTGAGGTTGTTGATCAGATTACCAAATACAATTCCGAGCAGAGGAAAGGGGATTCCTCCAGCTATCCCGAATATCACGCCGCATACAATAAGAAATACGTCGAATATCGTGTAATCCAAAGAAAAAAGAAGGTGTACGTAGGCGAAGAACTGCTTCAGGTGTGCTTTGGTTGGGATTAGTCCATGGAGAGATCGCATCTAAATGCGAAGAGAGGTTTCACCCAAGTCAGTACCTGCTGCTCATCCCTCGAATGAGCGAATTAAACATGACATACCAAACCATAGACACCCATGGAGTCTGTCCGCCCCTCAGACACTGGGTCTGGGTCTGCCATTGTAATTTATAGGTGTACGCAGTCTCGGTGGGAAGCGGCAGGGCAAGGTTCGAACAGAAAAGTATGAATCCTGTTATATGACAGGCCCTATCGCGACTTCAAACTTCAGTCGCAATGTGTCAACGAAAGAGGCGCACGGGAAGCCAGGGCGCTGGTGCTCCAGAGTCCCTCAATTGGAAGGGGATGAGTCGGAATCCCCGCAAAACGATCGACCGGCAATGAGGCAAGAGTGAACCGTACACTCAGACAGACGCCCCCCAAAAAGCATCCCCACCAATGTCGACGATACTCTATTCGAATGAATGGTTCACCAGATCTGGAGAAAGCGGAGGGAAGAAAAAGAAGGGGGTCGAGAGTTTAAAGAGAGAATGAGTCCACCAAGGAAGAAAAAAAAAATAGAAAAGGAGCTAGCATAGTTCGTACAGAGTAGGGACACACTAAACTTCAAGACCCGAATTGCTCATCATTATTGCTCCGGTTGCGGCCCTTTGAAGAGCTAAGACTTGGGGCTGAGCTGCAGTTGACTCCATGGTGTGCTTGAGTCCAAAGGCCAGTCAGTGGAGGGGAAAGCCATGAGTAAGAGAAATCCGTTAACCCCCAAAGCATCCACCATCGGAAAAGAGGGTCCCGTTCCAGCTGGTGACTGAGCGGAGAAGATCAAACCTACGAAGGGAGAATTGTACCGAAGAAAGAGGTATGGATCGTCACTCGACAGGGAAAGAGGGAGACGAGGAACCGGACAGTGAACCAGTAACGAGCTGATTTTCGCCCAGTGGACACATGTAAACTCAACAGGTACTAGCCCTAGTACTGCAGACAATCGATCCCAATACGACGTAATGCGGGTGTGAGTAATTGCAGCAAACACCGGACTGCCGTTGTATTGTAAGCCCACGGCTTTAATTGAGAAACGGCGAGGAAGATTAATCATTGGATGTTTATGTTCCAGACGCAGTGGAGCCAAAGTGGGAGGCCAGTTTGGCGGTTCCTGGGATCTGTGTAACACTAAGGAAAAGTACTAACCGAGGCTATACTAGTCTACACTGCCTAGTCATCTAACGCTTATGATCGTCTTTTAATCTAAGGAACCCACCAAAAAAACAAAAATGAAAATATATCGACTAGGGTGTACCGAGTACCGAGGGTACATTTTGAACTGTTCGGCAGCCAGACTGTGTCTTCCAACTACAATGACTTATAGCTGAAAGGGCAGGTACTCATCTGCAATGGATTAATATACACAACAAAAGCACCAAGAAAAAAATTAGAATAAAGGGTCTCGTTGTGTGATATGCATGAATCAAACTCAACTGGAACTGAAAACGAGGCAACAAGCGCTAAGGATCTGGGCGTGGGACGTGGCTGGATGGATCGACATGTCGTCGGGCTCATCTGATAACTCTGTTGTCGAGGTTCGCTCCATTACCTGCAGACCCGCAGCCCAATCACCTGCCTATTCTGGTGCCGCCGCGGGAAATTTTTCTCATCTTCTGCCGTCTTCTTCCTTCTTCTCCTACCCTGCGGTGTACATCTTCATCTTCCCTCACGAACTCTCACATGAAACCTTCATAGGTCGTTCCACCCCCGTGTAACACCATTTTTGGGTTACTTCATAGGTCAAATCGACAAATGCAAATTGTGTATTGAATATCCACCCCCACCAGTATTATGACTCTTTCTGCCCCGCTCGGGCAGGCATGACCACTGCAAGTCTGCAACAACTGTTGTGTTACCCGTTCAACGCCGACCTGAAACGAGATTGCATTTCGCTGTAGCAGTCAAGTCCCGCGAACCCAATTACTATCAGGTATACCATAGCAATATAAGAAAGACTACAAGACACTACAATCTATTTAAATTGCACAAAACTCGCTACGCAGCGTTCCATGATTCTAGAATTATGTAGCGTCCGTCCTATCCCAGAATAAGTAAAATACTAACCAGAACTTATCCACAATCCCACTTCTGATGGGGTTTGCCGATGGAGTAGTCCAAGTTATCAGATGGCGCGGCGTGTTCCTCCCAGTTCTCACTTAAGTAACCCCCATCCATCGGGCACCACCAGTAATTTCCGCTCGCACCTCCTGACTATTTACTTTGCACACTGGTCAATTTTCTCGTTTCTATTTCTGATTCTAGGGGGGGCGGAAATATGACATAGTTCTATTCTGCTAGTGCGACTACGTACTCCGTAGTCAGCCTTGGTTCCAATTTCCTTTATCTAATCTGATCAATCAACAATTCCCCCCCTGAGTCCGCCTGGCAGTGTGCCCCTGCGGTTGGTGAATCTGATTAGATGCAGATCTGATTAGATAGTTCGTGCGTGTTTGACCCTCTGGGCATTCTCGCCCAGACGATCGACCAGAGTAATGTAAGGGACAAGCGACAATCTGTGGTTGAGTTCAAGCATTCACTATGATGTGTCGCCTGATCTGACGCGTAGCCGCGGAGTCGCGTATCGTATTCTTACATCATATCCAACACGTCTCTACTACCGTATTCACTTACCAACGATACGCACTTGCCTCCACGTGTGTGTAGTTGCTTCCTTTAGTAAATTCCGTCCTCGCCATTTCCTTCCCGATGAACAACTTACTACCCTGCTCATTCTCTATCTTCTCCCAGTCTATGCTTCTATCCATCTTCCCCTTCTACCATCTACTATGGCTTGTTTGATGGCCACCAAGTGACTGGTGACTCAGTTGAGTGAATCAATCTTTCTTTTCTACTGGATTGAACTGCATGGCTAATGTTTGCAAATTCCTTCTTAGGTCGCTGGTGTGTTCCTATCATCTCTCCGGCGTATTCTGGGGGCTTCACTCGGCACATTTGCCTGGGTACCCCTTCTCGCCTGATGGGACCCCCCACTTCCAGTGGGCGCCTACAGCCATTCTAGGCTGTATGGCTTGGGTCCCGGATACAATGGGGAGGCGCTGCCGCCACTTTCGCCAGGTTGCCTGCACACCGGCGTCCGCTCATGCCACACCGTGGGTCTCATGGAGACCTGCAAAGGCCTTAGTGGAATGCTTTGTGTCTTTTAAAGCATCACTTCCAGTGTGTTTCTCAACCACTTAAATTGAGAAACAGGGTTGGTGTGGCACATGAGCGGACGCCGGTTTGGCGGTAGCGCCTCCAACAAGATGAAGAAAATTGTTTGGTCGTTTTCTAACAATGGCTTCTAGACTGCACTTCGATGTTGAGGTGGGGACTGTGGAGCTGTCGTTATTTCTTCGTCTCTTGATTTTCCTTGGAATCTTTCGTCTGTTTATGTTTGGGCTGTTGTTTCTCTCTTTCTATGTCTTGGTTGAGAATCAGCGGCATAAAGTGAAAGCATCCTATGAGAAGATGGAGCCCAAAGCAGTAGAACTGCTAGATGTTTTAAGAAATATGAACTTGGCAATTGACGCCAAGGTCAGTCTTCTTAACTCAATGAAATCCGACATCAACCAAAAATGTGTCCCGGAGAACGCTATTGCACCGATCTGGAAACATTTAGCGCCCTGCGCTGAACAAACGCAAGTACGGGCACTGGACATTGAAAGTGAAGATAATCAAAAAACGCCTTCCAACAATGCTGTCTTATAAACTTCATTCGGGGTGACAATGGGAAGCACCTGCATAGCTAGCATGTAAGATGGCTGAGCTTGGTTCACTTCTTGTTTTGTTTGCTTTCTGCATTTTGTTCGTCTTCCTTCTGATCGAAACCTATACATCCAGTGTAAACGACTGGTTTGCTAGAATGGAACCGAAGGCTAACCGAGTTGGTAGCATCCAAGGTCATGACACCACATCTGCTTCGATCCGAATCAAAGGGGATAGCGTTCGATCAGAACAAGATCATGCTTGTTTCAAACCTTCCTGTGAGCACCTCCTTTCTTTTTGTCATCTATACTATCTCGCGCTTCTATTTTCTTCGTCATAATATTTTTCTTCACGTTCGCCCTGTTTCTGTTCGCCGTTCCTCTTGCCCATTACTCTTCTAAATGATGGAATGCAGGTTCGAAGTAACACTCAGCTTAGACAAGCTCGGTTTCGCCCTCAGGGCTCTTTTTTCTTAAAAAAAAAAAATGGGGTATCTCTTTACAAAGAGCAAGCAAGGGTAATGTTGAAGAGTTGTGTGAAAGTTATGAGCATGCGATTTGTGAGAGTTGTGTAGGGAGAGAAGAAGATGCAGCAAGCGGGCATCTTCCCCTTTGATGCATCGAGCATACTCTCGTCTTCTTGATTCCTCATCGCCTTTTCTTGTAAATAGCATCGGTCCAGCCTGAATAAAACACCCATAAAAGACTGGCTGCATCTGAAGCCGTTAGAGACGTTTACCGTTGATATGTCTGACACCATATACCTTAGCTAACATCCCAGATCGGGGTGCACCCAGTCGAAGAGGAGAGGAGAGGAGAGGCGAGTGTTGGGGAAAGCCCCGGGCGCTCATAAGTTGGTTTTACAAACAGCCCAGGAACATAAGCAAGTTGTTTTGAGAGTGGTAAAACACTCCTTAGAAATCTGTGACTTTACATATGGGTTCAGGTAAGTATAGAAAGAAGATGGTCTAGACAGGGGGGGAAATGATGAAGACGAAAGAGAGGAATGAAGCAGAAAAAAAGAGGGTTTTCTCCAAGGAAAGCACACAGGCCTTTGCAAGTTCGAGACGATCTTGCAAACCAAACAAAAGATATCAAAACTGACCAAAATGCCAGCTCTGCACTTGCGACGGTAACATCAACACTGGTTTTAGACGAAATGGGATCCTGTCAACACATACTTCGCAAAACACGACGAAGAGGTGTCGTCAAGGCCGCTCACCATCCGGCAAAGAACTGAGATCCGAGCACTGCGGCTCACAATGCACATCCCCTATGAGATTGCTCCTAGGGAGTGCTGGGGTGGAAAACAAGCAGGCAATGTACTTCAGTGTGTTATCGGTTTTGGGGAGTTCAAAGAGACTTGGAAGACTTTGTGGATATTTAAGTAAAAAAGAGGGTTGTTGTAGAGAAGAAGGGAAGAGAAGAGGGCTCGTTCTCCACTGCGCCAGGAGGTGTACATGGTGTAGAGCGGACAATCCAATAGCCAAAGGAAAACATCACGACGCGAAGCTAGGTGGTGTAAGAGCAAAACGCGGGAGGAAAGTGGAGAAAGTTTGCAGGAAGCCTGAGGAGTTGAGGAGATATGACATGCGAAACAGTACAATGGGAAGAGACTGACGTTTACAGTCTCATCTCTTGGGGAGATGAGGGCGCAACTCAGTTTTTGCACAATGCACAATGATATCCATCAGAAATATTAATGTGATTCATTGACTCCTACCAATAACGAATTGGTTCCTAACAATAACGGTTGCCTCTAACAATAACGATGCTGACAAGAATGATGCTAATCATAGCGATGCTAATAATACAACACAGGGTATGCCTCATTCACAACTGCTCCATAGCAATGAAATATAGAAGTAAGTTCCGAGTGTTCTCAGAGACCTGACCAATGATTTTCCAAAATTTCTCATCATCAGCAGTCATTGTATGCAAGTGTACACACAGCTGAGTCACTTTTTGCCGGATGTTCGCTTGCTCTGATGTTAGAAACTTGCTAGCAAGATCACCCAGCCTCTCCAGGACATCCATAGGGAAGCGAGCTGCACGAGAGGTCATCTGACGCAGGATATCTGTAAGAATGTTGAACACCATAAGAATGGCACGGTCGTTAAGCGACGCTTCCTCCGCAGAGACAACGTCCACAACAGCCTTAACAATGTCCCCAAACTCTGCCGCGCTCACCATCTCCTCCGCGGTCTCATTCAAAACGATTGCCATATAGCAAGTAGTGTCGTAGTTTTTTCTGGCTCTGATGATGGATTTGATTATACGAGATGCATACTCCCCCAACGACATCGTGGACCCACCATTGTCCACAAGTCGTTTCATGTGTCTGAACGTGTAACGCACTGTTATAAGCACCTGCGCTTTGGGGTCTAGCGGGCGCCCGAAGTATTGCTGCTTTTCGTCTGGTGCTCTCTCGAGTTCGCCCAAGAGGGCATCTAGGAGCTCGGAGTACTGTTCTTCGTCGTCAAAAAGCCTATCGTGAAATTCAATTAGCCCCTGCAATTTGTGGTACCCATGAATGTCCATACTCTTAGAGTGAATCCTGGGGATTCCCTTCTCAAGAGTCTGTCTCGCTTTCATTGGGTCCTTGGAGCGGGGACTAATGCTTCGACGTCTCTCCTCGAAGCGTTTTTGTGCTGCCTCAAACTTAGGACAGCGATGCGTCGCCGTGTCGTTACTCGGTCCGGTAGAGGGACGTGTGCGCGGCACATGTAACGAAGGAAGACGTGGCATAGATGTCTGTGGTGACCTATTGTCACGATGGTCTGGCTCATTTTTCGACAGTTCCTCTAGAGCATTGTTTTTCGGTGCATCACGAGGGACTGACGGAGTGGTAGGTGGTTTTGTCTCTTTCGGAACAGAGTTCTCATTGCCCTTCGCAATAGGGGACGATGGTTTGGGCAAAGGAATCTCGCGCAGTCTCAGAGGGTCTGCCACTACGATAGGATGGTGTACAACAGTGGAAGTTATGCTGACAGACCGCTCTTCGGCTTCATCCGCAATTTCATCGTTCTTTTCCTTCGTGTCTTCGTAGATGACGACCTGATTTGTCGCCTTCTCTACAGGTTCCTTCTGATCTGGCGTGGCCGGGCGCGTCGGCTCAAGCCGTCGGCTCTTCCCCATGGGCCGCATGGGTGCGGAGGACAAAGATGAGACCTGAGGAGCCGACTCAGGCCGTGGGGTCATAGCAGTTTTTGGTGCAAGGTGTGCTTTCTTCTGCGCTGCGATCGCCTGTTTCAATGCACTTCTTCCCGGAATAACGTTAGTGCTGCTCGTAGGGGCTTTTTGAGATGTTGCAGAAGATTTCGAAGCATGTCGGTCTGCAGTTTGCATGTTGCCAGCAGCCGGGTTAGCAGGATCTTTCTCCAATAGCGACCGTGACTTGGAGTCAAGGTCCGACATGATACTGTAGTCCGTTAGCCAATATATTCACCAAGGTCACAGAACAGCGTGAAAGTGTAAACTCACAATTTGGCTTTCTGAGGCCAGACGCTGTAGTACGTCCAGAAAGTCTTCCTCATTGCCTCACGAACACCAGGATTAGCATCACCAAGTCCTTTCTTCAGACTTCTCTCGATGAGCTCGGTTCCACCGCCGTGTTCAATGGAGGACTTGTGACCAGCCTGTTTATTGATGAGAGTGATGTACCATCCAGCTGAGAACAGACGCAACTGGACGTTTTTGTCTTGGGAAGCGGCGTAGACATGCTGGAGAATTCGATGAGTGTAAGACACGTTTCCAATAACAATGTCAACGGTCAGATTCCCATTTTCGGCCGTTATTTTCTTCATACCGGCGCAGAGTTTGATGAGATTTTGCAGGATGATCTCCATCATCGGATCGATTCTAGGGCCACACTTTCGGGCGAGATCCTGAATGAGCAGACATCCGTTTGTTCCCATAGTAGTTCGTAGAGAGTTCACGACTTTGAAAATGCCATCCAAAATCGACTTGATAGCAGCGACAAAAGTCTGAGAGTATGCATGGGGCGCATTACCATGCGTAAGTCGGCGTAAAGTAATGACACTCTTTTCACGATGCACCCAGTTATCTTCGGACTCACGTCCTTCGAAATATGGTGTCATCAGACGCACGAAGTCATCAATTTCCCGAGCGGATGAAACAATGATTGGTTCCACATCGGAAGGAGTAGGCTCTACTGGCCGTGTGCCGGACTGACTAGCCGGTCTGATGAGACTGTCTTGAGTGACGGTGTCGACGCGAGAGGCCGGTCTCTGATCAATTCGCAAGGTTGGTTTCTGGTCAACACGCGAGGCTGGTCTCTGGTCAACACGCGAGGCTGGTCTCTGTTCAATACGTGAGGCCGGTCTCTGCTCAACACGCGAGACTGGTTTTTGCTCAATGCGTAAGGCCGTTTTCTGCTCGACACGTGAGACTGGTTTTTGCTCAATGCGTGAGGCCGATTTCTGCTCAACACGCGAGATCGGTCCCTGGTCAATCCGCGAGGCTGGTTTCTGTTCATCACGCGAGCTCGGTCCCTGTTCAATTCGCAAGGTCGGTCTCTGGTCAACACGTGAGGCTGGTCTCTGGTCAATACGTGAGGCTGGTCTCTGGTCAACACGTGAGGCTGGTCTCTGGTCAACACGTGAGACCGGTCTCTGGTCAATACGCGAGGCTGGTCGTGAAAGATGATCAGGTTCATCCGATTCAAGGCCAAGATTCGTCAGAATGATGCTGACAATAGACTTTCTGACATTGAGTTCACTCAATTGCTTTTTGAGATCTGCCTTCGCATGTGCGGGTGCATTCCTAAGTCAAGTTAGCGGCAGAGGCTTGAGGAGAAGACCAACGAAACTTACTGGAACAGCTCGACAATGGTCGCCTTGGCTGTATCTCTGACGGCACTATCGGCGTCCTCGAGACATGCCACAAGACTAGGGACATATGGACGGAAGAGCAAGCCGTATTGCTTAGCCATCTGCCAGCGGAGTTCGGTCAGCTTTGCTCAGGATCGATAGGAGTGAGACTTACATTAGCTAGCCAGATCATGCTCATTTCCCTAGCTCTGTTGTTTTTGCCGACAAGGGCCGTTCCCAGCACATGTTGTTCAACTTCATGGCTAGCTGCAGGCCAGAAGTCTGTGAACGCTTGAGCCGCCTGTGCTCTGACTCGCTCCTTGTGATCGCCCAGGCGTTCCAAGAGCACCGGGTAAAGGTGGCGAGCCTGCGAAGCAACTATACCATGCTGTTCCTGAATGAACAGTCGCTTCAAAAAGTGACCCATCGTGGAGAAACCAGCAGACAGAAGTGTCTGGTGGGAAGAGGCAAGTGACAAACGCAACGCATCAAAGATCGATGGTATTGCGCTCTCTGGGACATTTTTCTGTTTGATGTCCGACTTGACAGAATTCAACAAGCTGACCTTGGCATCTATGGCCAGGTTTAAATTCTTCAAAGTGGCCACTAACTCAGTTGCCTTTGAGTCCATTCTTGCAAACCAGTCCTTCACACTGGATGCATACGTTTCAATCAAAAGGAAAACAGACAGAAAGCACAAAGCAAACAGGATTAACCAATAGACACCAAACAACGTAAGGAAGACAACCACAAAGCTGAGCTCGGCGGTGCCGAGAGTGAGTTCGAATCTAAACTTCATTGTTAGACGCAGTACTCAACCTCACAACGAAACAGCTTAGAGTGATAGAAACAGAACAGAACAACAGAACGACAGAACGACAGAACAACAGAACAACAGAACAACAGAACAACAGAACAATTTTTTGGCGTTTTTTTTTTGATACTTTGTAAATTTTTTGACGAGCAAGAGGCAACAGGAGCAAGCAAGAAGTAACAGAAGCAAGCAAATATGTTATTGGAGAGTGGTGTGTGTTTACGAGTATGCGGTATATGAGAGGGTTGTAGAGAAAGAAGAAGAGAAGAGAAGAGGGGGGAGATTGGGGGGAGTCCATAAACCAACAACAACATGATGGCGCTGAGGAAAGTGCACATACCTGCTATATTGGGTAGTCGCGATGAGAAGGATGACGGAGAAGGCGAATGGGGGAGGCAGTTAGGGAGGGAGAGAGTTGTTACAATATGAGCTCTGATCTGGAAGGAGGAGGAGGATGAGGTAGCGACGAGGGTTGCAAAGTGACGCAGTGACGGGGAAACTTCTCAGCGCTTATCGCCGCGCCTGTTTCGCTTATCGGGCCGACGCGACTCCACCAGACTGGTTCACTTCTAAGGATGACAGCGAGGCGATCGGTATGTAGGGGTATATATCAAAGTGCAGAGTGTTACAGAATAGTAATGCATGGAAAGAAGTGGGTGGTTTGGTTTCGTTGGATGATCGCAAAAATGAGGGGTGGTCGATGATCGGGCGGCGCGCTGTCCCTGAATCTTCTTTTTTAATATTTTTTTTTCTTCGCTTTGTTTACCCGCAATGATTCACCCCGTTTTGGGTAAACAAGTGGGGGAACTGGAACTTTTTCGTCTGCAGCCACGAATTGATTGTTGTTATGGCAGCTGCCCAACTTGTTGTTGACGAACTGGAGTTCTGCTTTAAGTAAATTATGGTTGTTCTGAGTCTCATTAACACTATGATTTTATTTTATTATCTTTCCCCCTTTTTTTCTTCTTCTTCTTCTTCATCTGCCCTGATTCTTGGTTCTCCGCCGCACTACGCGTAGTACTACTAGTAGTATCTCTCTCATCTACCCCTATTTTCCTTTCTCCCCTTGTTTTATTAACGGAAGGTGTGGGTGACCTCTTAACTAAAGGTGGACCGTGGGGATAGACTCATTTTCGGATGCAGTCTTATCGATAGTTAACTCCACGGCCAAGACAGTTCTCCAACCTCGCATACATGATGCTAGTACGTTCTATTAGATTCGAGAATAGTAGTAGACTATTTTTTATGACTGGTAATTTGAAATATCACATCAGATTCGGAGTATATAGCGCTTTGAACAGTAGTAATTGCTTTACGCGACCGAGCCTGAAATTGCGCCGACGTGTTCCTTAGTTGCCTATTTCCTTCCCCCCTGAAAATATATAATCCCAACTACTAGTAGTAATAGTAAACACCCGCAGCCCGAGCAACCAAACACTGAAGGTGAGTCATCAATGATTACTGTACTATTACTACCACCTACTACAGCGCAGAGTCTACAGATAGCCTTGAGACCACAATATTGATACAATCCAGAACAATGAATAGTATTAAATAGGTTAAATCCTGCTTTTGAAACTAATCACATACCACAGCCAGTCACACTGCAAGTGGATTTAAATTAGACTGCAGTAACTCCACTCGATCGCCGCGCCGCGCGGTGGATCACTCCAGAAAAGACGGCGGGCACTTGGACCAGCCTCGGTGTGTCACAGTGCGCGCGCGCAAGCGCGATGCAACAAGCGAACCTGACGGTCGGTGGAGGGGCTGCTCGCGTCAAGCATCAATTGATCAACTTTAATTCGGTTTTTCTTCACGCGATGAATTGTCCATAGTCTGGTCTGCGCTTGATTGGGTGGGCTACCGCGACCCCTGCGGCGGCTATGCTGCATGCGCTACTGACTAGACGACGCCATGCTTCAAGCCTTCAACCTTGCTATAAGCGACGTAGTAATCCTCCGTCTTAGATTATTTCTACTACACTTCTTCTCCTCTTCTTCCTATATATAAATTATACACTACTATTAGCTATACAACACCCATTGAACAATGTCAACCTCCACACCCCAAGCTACACCCTCACCCTCACCACTCCCACCGCAACAACCACAACAATCACCACCACGCTCCAGCTCCAGCTCCAGCTCCAGCTCCAGCTCTAGCTCCAGCTCCAACTCACCTCCCCCTCAAGACCAACCCATCCCCCAACCCACCCTCCGCCTCCAAATCAACGACCTCCGCCACCCAGCCTCAAAGACCTTCCTAACCCTCCTCCCGGACCTAACCTCCACACTCACCACCGCCCTCACAACCATAATCGAACACCTATACACCCCTCCCCAACAACAAACACCCACATTCCACCCCACCCCACCCCCAACCCGCTCCATAACGCTCCTCCTCCGCGCCATCTCCGGCGTAGCCTACACAACGGGCACGGAGCTAGACAACGACCACAAAGAAATCCACCTATCACTATCCTACATCCAAACCATCACCACCAACGACAACAATCCCAACCCTACCGCCGAACTAACCGGCGTCCTCACCCACGAACTCGTCCACTGCTACCAGCACACCGCGCCCCCAGATTCTCCTAATACCCCACATCCCCCCGGTGGCCTCATCGAAGGAATCGCGGATTTCGTGCGCCTTAAAGCGGGCCTGGAACCGCCGCATTGGAAGCGGCCCGCGTCGGCGAAGGAGAGAGCGGATAACTGGGATGAAGGATATCAGCATACGGCGTACTTTTTGGCTTGGTTGGAGGATGTTAAGGTGGGTACGGGGGCCGTCGGGATGTTGAATGATCGGTTGTTGAGGGTCGGGTATGCGGATGGGTTCTGGGAGGGGCTTTTTGGGAGGGGGGTTTTGGAGCTTTGGGAGGAGTATGGGGTGTGGTTGGATGGGGGTGGTGGTACTGGTACTAGTACTACTGGTGGTGGGGGGTGTTGGGAGGATGAGATTGTTGATCGGGTGTAATGGGTATTGTTTTGAGTAGTATAGCTTTAGTGTATGGTGATGGTTGAATGGCGTCAGGGTCTTTCCAGGAAGGGGTATTGTTACTAGGTGCTGTTGACGGTGCCATGCTCGTCTGTTATGCGCAAGGTCCATTGATTCAGTAAAGTACATACCTCTATATACGTACTTCTCGTCTAGAGTAACTGTCTGTAAACAGCGTCATCCCAAGTCCATCTCTAGCCAGTCTTCAAAGATGCAATACAAAAAAAAAAAAAAAAAAAAAAATAGCGTTTAAATCGGATAACATGAACATAGAAATAACATCAGAAGAAAAATAAAAGAATAGATTTCCCATATTGTACAAATCCTTGCAATGGTGAATAGATGAGGGGGTAGCAGTATGTAATGTTGCATCGCTGTCAATCCCGCATTGACAACATCTATAACAGATATAATGTGTGACGCCGTTTCTTAGACATCTCTCTCTCATGCCCACTCTCTACACAATCACCTCGCCCAAGTCCACGTGCACCGGCTTCCAGGGAGCGGCTCCCTCTTCCTCCATCGAACTAGGCACACGCACGTTCAGCGGACTGTACAGGTACCATCCCTTCAGGGCGGCGACGGCAGCCCTGGAACGAGCCTCGAGCAGACTGGCGCCAGCGCCCTCGCCCAACTTATCCTGACCAGAGTAGATGCCAACGACGAACACGGGGTGTCGGCTCTTGCGACCGGTTTCACTGATGATCCGGGCAACGGGCTGCTCGAAATTCTCCCGAGCACACAGGCGAGCAAGATCACGAGCGGGTTGGGAGAAGTTGAACAGGTCGGAGATGTTGAGGTGACGAGAGAGGAAGTGCTGCTCAAAGAAGCGCTTGGCAGCAGGGCGGCCTGCGTGCAGGTAGATAGCACCCATCACAGCACGCACAAAGGTTGCGTTAGCCTGTTCGGCGGTGACGCCCTGGGTGTTCTGGGCGTCCTGCTTAGACTGTTCCGAGGGATCCTTGGGCCCCTTGACTGGGTCTCCGAACTCATTGTCGTAGACGACACTTGACGTGATCGACTTCCGCCAATGTGTCTGATCTTCGTGAGGTCTCGCTGTGCCAGTGACAGGCTTCGAGTGCACATCAACTCCCGGGAGGACTCTGTTGAACTGCAGGTAGCCGGGGTCAACCTCTCCACCAGGAGCAGCAGCGGACTCCACACCCCATTCTCTCGCCATTGCGGCCAATGTCTTGGGCCCGACATACGCATACATGGCTGCGAATATAACGGTCAAGGGGAGTCGGGGATACGTGCAGATGAGGTATTCGGAGGTGTAGTGTGTCAACAAATCGTGACCAAGGGTGGCCAGGGACTCATTGTTGAATTTGGGGTTGGGATCAGCCGAGGCGTCCACGAGAGAGCGAGCAAGGGTCTCGAGGGGTAATCGTGAAGGAAGGTAAAGTCGTGCGTGAAGCGCAGCCAGTTTGGCGGACTCGCGTGCGGCCTCGACCGGGGGAGACGGGAGTTGGTACTTCGACTGTCGGGAGGTAGGGGGGCGAATAGATGATGCTAGAGGGTCTTCCTCGAGCAATTGATCATTGGCAGCCGGCGCAGCAGGCGAAGCGGTCGATTGATGCCGGATGCCAGTGTAGAGACGGTGCTGCAGGCGGCCACCAGTCCGGGCCTGCGCCGAAAGGACCGAACTGCTCCATCGTTGGAGCTGCAGCCTCTTCATCTGGGCAACTGTGTGGGTGTTGGGCCGTAAATTAGAAAAAGACCGAATTCAATTGTAATGACCGCCCGGGGACGTGGCGTGGAGTGTTCAAGACGGGGGCAGATCCAACTTGAGCCGGCACGAACTTTTGGTCGGTAGAGAAAAGTCGAGCTTCGGAGAAAGTCACGGGGTCTGGCGGTCGTGTGAGAATCGGCCAGGTGGCGCTAAACTGAATACGGATGTAGCGTCACGGGGTCTGGGACGAGGGACGAACGACGGCCATTTCGGCTTCCAACCCGCCCAGAATAACGACGAGCTTCTCAGCGAGCCATTGTCCACGTCTTTCCCCTACGTTCATTCTAGATACCCTCAATACACCATGGGTGGAGGCGGCAAGATCCCGTATGCGACTCTTCACCCACCTGGTACTACCATTGCATCCGAGATTGACTGAATTCTTTCCGCAGGTATCCCAAGGAAGTCTGGTCTCCCGCGGGTGGCTGGTACGCTCAGCCCGCAAACTGGAGGGTCAACACGGCCATCATTGGCGCCGCTGTCCTTGGAGTCGTCGCTGTGACCTGGAGCATCAGTGCCGACCGTGAGCACCGTGACAAGATGCCCGAACCCGGCAGATTCTTCCCCAGTCGCTAGTCAGTCCCCTCAGCCAATCTCGTGTCATGTGTTTCTAAGCAGCAGTCGTTGACTTTATATTGCTTCTATCTAGCTGGAGCCGGGAAATCAGAGAACACGAAAAGCAGCTGGCCGCCCAGAACCGGTCATAGAGCGGCAACAGGATGAAGAGGTAGTTGTGGGAAAATGAGTACCTGTGGTGGTTTTCTATGGCATGCCAGGTTTTGTTTCATAATTTTGTGGGCTGTACGACAATAGAAGGGCGTTCTTCCATACGGTCAGTTGATCTGAAAGTGCTTCTGAGGAGACTCTTCCAATGTTCGATACAAGCGCTGTGTGTACAGACGGACCCGTTCCGTGAACTCAGTCTCGTTCCAAAGCTCCTTTCCATCACTGGATGTAGACATGCGCGGCACTCCGATCTGCTCCACCACGAAGCTGGCCGCCACAGTAGCGAAAATCAAGGCCGTCAAGACCTGGCTATGCTGTGCAGCAGCTTGCACTGCTTCCTGCCATGCCGTAGATCCTGCGAGGACCGAGTCGACAAGATTGGCTGGTTCTCTGCCTGCACTGACCATGCCCTGCGTCAGGGCACCCAGAAAAGAGTTGCCCGCGCCAGTGGGGTCAATCACCACCGACGCCCCTGAAGCACTGGGCTGATGGTAGGCGGGCAGCCAGACCCTCTGGGATCTAGAGTAAGAGTAGCTGCCGTCTTTACCGGCTCTGATAACCAAATGCCCGTTCCCATCAGGACCAATACCTGACTCAAGGATCTTTTTGACGATGCTCTTCCCATAGTCGGTGTCCTCGCTCCAACCAGGCTGGCCAAACATCATTCCGAGTTCCAGTTCGTTGGGGCTCACAACATCTACAACTTGGTTTGCCGCAAGGAACCGCTCTTGCTCTTCTGGCGTGCATAGATCCGGCACAGGTTCCCAAACGAAAATAGGTCTTCTCGCAGCGTGCTCCACTGGGGGAGCTTTGCCTGCTCGCTGTAGTTCCTCCCGTCTGCGCAGGATTGTTTGTACAATTGAAATACAACGCGAGGAGGAGCAGACCATGTGGAAGGTCTTGGAGAACACCTGAGCATCAGACAGCATTTCTGGTTCCAGGCGCAACTTTGGGGTCAGGTATTTGAAGTCTGCGACAAATTAGTCTTTGTCTCGTTATAGCTGCAGATTCTAAGGATGGATACCGACCCCGCTTCTCATTTGGACCGTAACCATTCCAGGCCCTGGTTGTCAAACGACTTTGATCCTCCCGGAATACACAGTTTGTATCCCACGACTTGAGCAGATCGAGAACATCTGGAGGGAAATCGGAGCCAACATCCACAATCCAGCTCACAGCCTGCGAATGTTCTCTTCCGGTTACCAAGCGGGCACCAACAACGGCAAATGACGCTGCGCCTCCTAGAACATTCTTTACATTGGGTCTTGTTCCATCGAAGTCTATATCATCTATATCACAGGAAAGGGGGGTTCCGTAAGTACATAGTGCGATTTCGACTGCGAATGGGTAGATCATGGCGTACCAAGAATGAACATGCCCATTGTGCAGAAGTCCACATTGTCTCTAGAGTGCTCCGAGGAGCCATGGCCTTCCAACATGGTTACGGAAGCGCTCAATTACCTTGAAGGGAGAAAGATTGGTGAGATCCTGTACTCTGGCGGGGTTCGAGGGATTCAATCCAATCCGCCGCTTGAGTCTCCGTCATGGCGGCCTTATCGGATTACCGGCTGATACCACCAACGTCATGGGAGACGGGCGGATAACAGCCACGCTGGCGTACCGTATGGTATGACCCACTATCAGGAGCTCCAGGCCTCAGGCACGGGTCAGGAGCATCGCCGTCTCATGCAATTCCAACGGCTGCCTTGATCCTCTCCCTCCTCAGCATCTTCTTTTTTCTGCCTACAGGTCGCTACTGACCCTTCTTCAATCTCTCAATCGTGGCACACGGTAGCCCGTGCCCCTTAATAGCTCCCTTTGGCCTCCTTCACTCCGACTGTCTTCAATAGCTCCCTCACTCCTTACTTCGACAGGGGCCGTCAAGATGGCGACAGGAAGCCACATGCATAATCTTACCACCCTTATCAAGCGGTAAGCCTTGAATCAGATGCGCTTGGAACTTCAGCGCTGTGCTATCTTCTATTCTTCTATACATCCCTCTATCATTATTATGTGCGACCGGTTACATGTGTTTCTAACCAGCTGGAAATGCCAACAGGTTGGAAGCCGCAACCTCCCGCTTGGAGGATATGGCTATGTCACTGGATGACCCCAACTCGCCCAAGACCATAGCCCCCCCTGCTGTGCCTGAAGCTGCTACTCCTGAGCCTCCCAAGTCAGCTCCCGCTGCGGCTCCCGCGCCGCCTCCCATCCCGCCCCAAATCCAGGACTTTGACACCCTGATCAACGAGGATGTCCGCAACTTTGTGGAGCTGGGCCAGAAGATCAATGGCTTGGTCGGAGAACAGGTAGGAGAGAAAGCGCATGTTCTGCTGAGTGCATCGCTCACAATTCCCGCAGTCCAAGGTAGTCCTTCAAGCCTTCGAAGCCGAGCGCACCTACCTCCTTGTGTCCACGAAAGCTAGAAAGCCCGAGCAGCAGCCCCCGGAGCTCATGACGGGCCTCCACAATGCTTCGGACAGCATCAACAACATCCGCGAGTCGAACAGAGCTTCTCCTCTCTTCAACCACTTCAGCGCAGTCGCGGAGGGTATTGTTGCCCTGGGCTGGTTCTTCGCAGACAAGCCCGCCGATTTCGTCACTGAGATGGCCGGAGGTGTCGAATACTACGGAAACAAGGTCCTGAAGGAGTACAAGGAGAAGTGCGCCGCCTAAACAACCTCTGTAATCTCAAATAGAGCTGACCCATGTTGCAGGGACCGTACCCACGTCCAGTACATCCAGGCCTACTACCAGATCTACAAGTCCCTCGCTGCATACCTGAAGAAGCACTACCCTAAGGGCCTGACCTGGAACGACAAGGATGGAATTGACGCCCAAGAAGCTCTTAGACAGGTCAAGGCCGGTAGCTCTGGCCCTGCCGCCGGCGGTGCTGCTCCTCCTCCCCCGCCACCCCCTCCAGTTCCGACTCTGAACGTTCCTGGCGGTGTTCCTCCCCCTCCCCCGCCGCCCGGCGTCCCTCCTCCGCCTGCAGCAGCCCCAGCTGCACCAGACATGTCAGCTGTCTTCGACCAGCTGAACCAAGGCGAATCCGTTACCGCTGGTCTTCGGAAGGTCGACAAATCGCAGATGACGCACAAGAACCCCAACCTTCGCGCCAGCTCCATGGTTCCCGATAGCCCAACCTCCGGAGGCAGCGCCGTTCGGGGCAAGTCGCCTGCGCCGAGCAAGAAACCCAAGCCGGAGAGCATGCGCGCTCGCAAGCCGCCGCGCAAGGATCTTGAGGGCAGCAAATGGTTCATCGAGAACTTCGACAACCCCGGCGAGATCGTTGAGATCAACGCGCAGCAGAACCACTCTATCCTTATCTCGCGCTGCAACAAGACCATCATCAAGATCAACAACAAGGCCAACGCCATCTCCATCGACAACTGCACCGGCCTCTCCATCATCGTCGACTCCCTCGTCAGCAGCCTTGACGTCATCAAGTCCCCCAAGTTCGCCCTCCAAATAGACGGTGTCGTCCCCACCCTCCTCCTGGACCAGGTCGATGGCGCTACCGTCTACCTGGGCCAGCAGAGCCTGGCCACCGAGGTCTTCTCCAGCAAGTGCACTGCAGTCAACATCATGCTCCCTCCTAAGGAGGGAACCGACGATGATACCAAGGAGTGCCCTATCCCTGAGCAGATCAAGACGTACGTGAAGAACGGCGTTCTGGTCAACGAGATCGTTGAGCACGCTGGTTAGATTTGCCTAGTGGATAGAGACTGCATATACATGTAGAATCTCGGATATTACCCCCCTCATCTCCGACAACAACCACAACTTATTACTACCCCTTACCACAACAAAATGGAGGCGATAATATGCGGCACTTGGAAACCAAACCTTGGACTCTATTGCTGTGTCTTATTCTACTCAATCTCTGTAGATAAAATCTTATTTTTCCGTTCAATTTTATCTTCCGCTATTACTATGTAGTACGTTTGAGGACGTGTATAGAAACAGGAAGAGCCTCAGGTGTCCCTTCCCCCTTTCCCACTCCATCCACACCCGGGATAGATGAACTACACAGTACTCGAAGGGGTGATAAAAGACGTAGAAGAGGAGATAATTTAATTACCGCACATCAAAACCTACAGTAACTATGTGACACATATGTTATATAACATCCACGAGCGTAGTGCAGACTGAATCAAGGCGAAACACAAAGTGATAACAGAGATTGTTCCCGTATTAGCCCCCTCCGAAAACAATTACAAGACTGGATGACACCGCTATTTCCAACAATAGTATAGAACAAAGAGAGAGATTAATGTTGCTGAACGCATTGTCCACATCGGTTGTTTAATCAGTGTTCAATGGACAACAGGAAGAATTGTAGGTATCGGCTAGTAGAGAGAAAGAGTGAAAGAGATAGAGGGAGGAAAGACTTGTTCAAGATATCTAAAGTAGTGGAATATGTAGAGAAGAGAGAAGGTGACATGTTGAGGTGGGTATATTTGCTAGTTCCCGTACTGTAATGGTTGTCCGGTGCGCCTTGCCGTGCGTATTTATTTTGGGCGAAACGGCAGGATGGTAAATTATAATGAATGAGATGATCCTGCATCTGCGCTTAAGAGGTATAGTGCTGTGCTGTTAGTTGAGGAAGACGTGGGGTTGTCCCGCTGTGCTGTGTCGTCCTTGAGGAGAAGATTGAACGAGATGTATAATAGAAATGAAGAAGAGGAAGCAGAAATAAAAAAAGAGAAAAGAGGTTACCATCACGATACGGTCAAGTCATGCTGGTGGGAAGCGTGCCGGCGTTATTCACCGGACTTTTTGAGGTCGGGAGAGTCGTGCTTGTGTACGTCCAAACCCCTCAGCTTCCTGGCAAGGAGGCTGTCACCAGCCTCGGAACTGTTAAAAGCGAACGGATACCCGCCATAACCGGTCTCACCCTTACTGAGTTTACCATAGAGCCCACGCTCCGCGTTACACTGTTCCGTAAAACTTAGGTCGAGTTTGGGCCCTGGAGACAGTGACGGAATAGGCCGGAAAGGATGTGAGGAAGGCTGGGAAGGACTAAAGAGGCTGGAGGTGCCCCGCGGGGCACCCTCCCGGTCTGCAAGTGTACGGTCTGAGAACGGGTCCTCTGGAACACACGTGGAGGAGCTCCCGGAGTATTGGGGCTCTCGTGAGGTCATAGCCCCCGATGGACTCAACATCGATGATGGTTCTCGATCTGTGGGTGCTTTGTGTGGCATCTGGTCTGTTGATGACCGTGCAGTTGCGTGTGTATGACTGGAGTCCCGTGAGGGTTTGTAAGGCGTGTAACGGGGATCAGGGCATTGTATTTCATTGCGAAGCTTTTCCTTACCGTCGGGAACTCTGTTGGCAAATACAACACGAATGCTAGAGTGAAGATAAAATCGGCCCCGAGATGGACAACATATGTTCAGATGGATCAAGTACCGTAGAGTCGGCTTGTCTTTGGGATCCTCTGAAGCGTTTAGCGACGCTTCAGGGCGATCGGTTCCATAGTTCTTTCGAGCGCTCAAAGGCATATCAATGATGGGACCCACCGAATAGCTTCGTTGTCGGATGAATGTCTTTGTCCCCGGCTCCATATCGCTGAGGTCGTAGGGCACGAGGAAGAGCTTCACCGCTGTTTTGTTGGGATTCTTGATCATGATCTGCAACTGACCGTGCTGTGGGATTCGGTAACAACCACCCGGTGGACTTTTGGGCGATTCCGCCCTCCTATGCCTTTTCTCGCGCCTGCGCAAAGTTTCCTGATCGGTTGACCTATGATCCATGGTATTCCCCATGGCACAGTCGTTGTGTGTTCCTGCAGGGCTCTGATGGCGCCTGCGACGTCGACTGCTACCACTGGACGTGTCCCGAGGAAGGAAATTGTCCAAGTCTATCAAGCCAACATAAGGGCTGGGGCTATCGTCCGCGATTGAGCGACCACTGCCTGACGTGGGGTAGCTGTAAAACACCGCCGGAAATGGTATTGTCACGTGCGGTGGGCATTTGAGGTTGGCTTTGCATTTGCCTTTACCGAGGACGCCAATTTGCGCGGTGAAGTCCAAGGGCTTGGAAGGGCTCATTGACATTCTTCCACGGAGGATAGACTCCTCGTATGAGCCAACCATTGGCGCATGTGCTCTGGAAGAGACTTCTGAGCCCACCGAGGGCCTTCGAACCCTCGTGATCGGAGTTTGGACCGAGGATGCAAGCTGAAGGCTGTATGTTGAAGTCAGGGACCGCCGAGGGGAGTGAAGATGATAAGATGTTGTCGTGTCCCATGGTGTGCGATGAGCATCAGCCTGGAAGAAGATCCCCTCTCCATGGTCCCCATGCGATGCCTGCAAGTGCTGGAATGTTTCTGGGGGAAGGGTACGGCGGCGACTGACTTTGTCGATGGCGTCCGAATGACCGACGTACTCCGGCCGAGGAGAGAAGTCCAGGTCTGTATTATTTGCCTGGTGAACGAGAGGGCTCGTCGGGGCTTTCAGTATATAGCTCGAAGAGAACGAGCCGAGAGAGGGAGCCCGAGAACGGGCTGTCGGGGTTGCTGTCTGAACTGATAGAGATTGGCCTCGTAAAGAGGCAGGGAAAACGGGAGTACTGAACCAAGGCGTCGTCGGGGAGGAACTCAGTAGTGGAAAGTGTGCGTTGACGGTGCGACCAGGCACCGGGGATGATGGGGCGTGTTGCTGGCTCTGGGCTTGAGAGCTTCCTTCCCTAAAGTCTCCTGAATGTAAAGCTGAGCGAGGGCGTTCAATATCGGCCGGCGATGCTAACTGCTGATCACTCGAGTCAGACTGGTCGCTAGGACCAGCATTTACAGGTGCTTTGTCTTTCATGTTGGTGGAAGATACATCGGACGCCTGAAGGGTAGGGTTCGGACTGCTTCCCGACTATAACGAATGAATGGGTTAGCAACGTCTCGGATACATGACAATGGAGCTTTTGCTGTTCTAGATAAGATAGAACAAAGGAGTAAAGAAGAACCCGAGACAATAAGTGTGCTCTACAGTGGCAGGACATACGGAATGATGTGATGCCCATCGGGGCGCATCGGCGCTTTTAATATACTGGATCAGTTCCTCGCGATTTGTTGCATGCATTCCCGCCCGGCTTTGATCCGGAGAGGGGCCTTCGTATGGGACATTCTGAGGCCCTGTGAGGGGGTGGCTTCCCAGGGGCTCCCCAGGAGGATGTTTCCAGGGAGAGATGGTCTGACGTCGAGCATTAAGCCGTGGCTGGTGATCATCAGACCACAAATCCTGGAGCCGCTGGTGTTCCGGATCCTGGAAGATGGGCATGGTCACCGGGAGAGGGGATGGGCAGAATGACGGGAAAAGAGGGAAAACATCGCAACCTCAGGAGCAGAGATCAGGGAGACGGACAACGAGGACCCTGATAACGCAAGAGGGAGGGGATTGCAGAGGTTGCGATGATCCGCAGAAACCGAAGTGGCGGAAGAGGAAGAGTCACGGTGGAGTCGACGATGACTTGATCTGCCTTTTGAAGAATGGCTCCGAGTGGGTAAGTCGTTTCGGGGCGTGGGGAACCAGAGGAAGATGAGAGAAGGTATATATATATATTTATATTTAGTAGAGACGATAAGATAGCAAGACTGACCGGAAATTAATGAGCGATGAAAATTAACAGGACATCTGAAACGACTAGAGAATCAATCGGGCGCGAGTAAAAAGAATAAAGACCAGGAAAGCAGACGTGAGGGGGAGAGAAATGCGGAAAGAGGAGAAGAAAAAAAGACCAGAGAGATGCGGAGGCAACGCTTTCGATTCCATCATCGGTCGACCTTCAATCAGTTTCCCTGCCCAACCCTATATTTCCCTCTCTGATTTCCCCTCCATTGTAACCCTACACCTGCAAAATTAATCCCTGCAATCCTCTTGATTATTGCAATAAAAACCCGCCATTCCCGGTGGAGACAACGCAGCTTTGCTTGGGAACATCCTGCAACTGCAAGAGCCCATCACCCGCTAAACTCGAGTTCCTGCACCCGCTCGGCCTCTGCCGTTCAAAACTTTTTTTTTTTTTCTCTTCTGCAGCAATTAAAAAAAAAGGGCAACGAACAACACATCTCACCCCCGCCACGTTGTCGCTGGATTAGTTTCCTGCCCAATACACCGCTCCTTCCATCCCGCGATCGGAGTCAAATTCCAAGAAAAAAAAAGAAAAGCAAAGCAAGACAACCAATTCAAGCCTCGACCAACCATGGCCCCGAAACGCTCCCGCGACGATACCACCACCACCGACGAGAAGCGGGAAAGCACCGGTGATGCCCCCGTGAAGAAGAGAAAGGGTTTCAGCGTCGGTCCTGCCAACCTCCCAGATGGAACATACCGTCGCAAGAGTGAGCTTTTCCCCTTTTCTTCTTCCTTACCCCTCACTACTCCAGTCTAGAACCGTGAAAGCTAACAGAAGAAACCAAATACAGCCCAAAAAATTAAAAACGACCTAATTCAAAAAGCCAAAGTCAAAAAGGCTTACGCCAAAGTTCGCGCCGCCGAGCTTGCCGCCGCTCCATCTAGACCCATCTACACCGACGATGCCCAAGATCAAGACGAGGATAACAAGCGCCCGGACCCGGCCCCGGCGTCGTTGGAACTTCACCCGGACCGACAGGCTATGCTAGACCAGCCGGCGCCGGAGCCGGAACCTACTCCTGCTGGTAGACCGCAGCGTGGGGAGAAACGCAATGCGAAGGGACGTCGTGAAAGAAAGCCCAAGCCCTCTGCGTTTGCTCGAGAGATGGAAATTGCGGAGAAGCGAAGGAAGGAGGCGGAGAAGCGTAGGGAGGAGCGCGAGTTCAGACAGAAGGATCGCGAGGCGATGGCGCGCGCGAAACGGCCGGATCAGGCTGGGAAGAGGAGATTGGGGAGGGAAAGTAAGGTGTTGTTGGGTCGGGTGGAACGGATGGTTGGGAAGGCATAAGATGATGATGCATGGCAGGGCAGTTTCAATGTTGATTTGATTGCGAAGGTGTTCAAAAGTTTGAATATGATACCCACTAGGTAATGACTACATTTTTCTTTATCTTCCTCATCAGGATTGAACTGCTACTACTTTCAAGATGAATCTGTATATTTTCCTTGTGATAATGAAGGGTGGGATCGATCTAGGCGGATGGTTTGTGCCCGTTGCCGCTCCGCGGCTTTCGGAAGCATGCAAACTCTCCTTTGGTTCTTTCTCTGAGGCGCTTCAGGATGCCTCTCATTTCTCCCAGCTCGGACTGAAGCCGTGCGCGTGCTTCGTGAGTGGTCCGCCGATCCAGCTCAACATAAATCTGACTTTGGATCGCGGATGCTTCATCGGTGGAGAACTGTGACATCGTCTGCGCGATGAATTCGGTGTCCAGAGTGGCCTGCATGAGGGCTGCCAGAGTGTACGACGACCGAGAACTAAAGGCGTTCAGAAGCGATGTCGACACTTGGGTCAGCAAATACGTCAGGACGACGGAGAGCAAAGAAGATTGGGCGGCGGATGAGGAGCGGCTCGGCACGGCCGTCAACGTCGAAGGGATGGTGGTGGTAATTTCCGTGTGTACCAGCACCAGGTCTAGCATGGTAGTGTAGACGTATGGGCGGACCTGATCCGGGCGGGACGATGCCGGTTCCCAGTCGGGGGCAGTGATGCTGTTGACAATCGTCGTGTTCAGCGCGTTGATGGTCGGCTTCGTGTATGACTGGAACAAGCGATCGTCGATCTGGTTGAGCACATCGCGGACGGTCTTGGCCTCCTCAGTCAACCGGACCGAGAACGAGTTCTCAAAGTTGGCGACCAGCTGCGGAACGAGATCGGCCTGGAATGCCTTGATGTTTGACAAAGTCAAGAGGATGCGCACATTCTGTAGACGCATTAGCCGATGAACCAGCAGAAGATGGGCGTGTTGAGAATCGATGATCTACTTACTCTGTTCCGAGAATCAACCGCATCCGCAATGAGTAGCGACGGAGATGTATCAAATTCGCTTCGTGTCGCCGTTGAGCCAGCTGCGATCCACTCATCCTCATCCTCCGACGATGTAGGATGTTCCGCATTCTCAACCAGGCCACTCAGCGCCTTATAGACACTAGACACAAACTGGGTGCGAACCATCTGTAGTAGCTTGGCAGGGGGCTGGGTCACAACATCGACGGAACCAGATCTTGCCATAGCCTCAGGGATGTAAAGGATCTTCTGCATACCCGCGATAATTGCGTTCTCGAAAGCAACAAACAGACCAGGCATCTTGGTCAAGTCTCTCTTTTCCGGGTCTCGAGTCCAGTCTTCTAACATCTTGCAAATTTCGGCATCTTTCCCCCAAGCTGCGCATGCCACGCGTACTGAGCGTTCGCGCGCCACACTCACAAGAGATTTAAGGAGATCACGGGTGTTAGTACTGTGCACCACAGGCTCCAAGGCGGCCATCTCACTAGCCGCCGTGCCAATGAGCACCAGACATTGACTGAGATAGTGGATGCCACTGAGAGAATTCGAGAATGGTGGCCAGAAGGCATAGTCTTCCCAATGTTCCCCGCGCTTCGGTGTAGGGAAGGGCATGTTCTTCGGATCAAGCTTGAAACGCGACTCCGTTGGGGTCACGCCCCGACTTCCAGGGCTGCTGGGGCTGGCTGTGGAGATTGGTGAGGTGAGGAGGGATACATCATCCACTGGGGGATCGGCGAACAGTGAGAGAACACTCTCGCGGATGAGATTGAGAAGCTCAACGACTCCCTTTTGCAGCTCTCTGGCGTCATTGGACGAAAGTCGGTGGTGTTTGCGACTTTCTCCCTCGAACCCAGCTGGAAGAAGCTTTTGCCTGCTGCCGTCAATGAAGGATTGCGCTACTTCCCAAAAGTCGAAGACTTCGCCAAGGAGACCTCCTTCAGAGGACAACAGCCTGCTCAGATAGGTATTGATACATTCCCAGAGCTCGATGACTTGGTCGCTATCGCGCATGGTTTGGGTGTCCAGAGCGCCGTCGCGTGGGGCCAACCGGAGGTATGATGCCACTGCCTGAGGCGTCGGTTTCTCACCACTAGCTAGTCGACGCCTCAGAATTTCTATCTCGACCTTGCAACGATCACAGAAGGCCGTAATTTTCTTCTTCAAGAAGTCGTAGCGACTGAGAAGCCATACCCAGATAGGATTGTCATCGACCCCTAGCTCCAAGAGAGCACCGATAAGCTCCATGTGCTCCTCTACGGGACCTGTAGCAGTAACTGTGGTCGAGGTAGTAGGCGCATCGCTGAGGCGCCTCCACAGGTCGCGTTTGAACGCTTGAATTTGTGAATCAACATCTATCCACATTCGTCCCATGGCCAGAATAACATGGGCCTCTTCATCCGTCAATGGCTGATGCTTGCTGGTTGCGGTATCGGCAATATCCCTGGCGGTCTTGGATAGGGCTCTCGCCCTTCGATACTGCTCAAAAACAGAGTCATAGTCTCTCTGCTTGATGGACTTGGAAAGATGACCGCCTATCTCATAGATATCTCTATGTTTCTCCATAGTGTCGACAACGGACTTGAGCACCTGCTCTCTCTCACGTCCTCCCAATGCCGGACCCCACACCTCCTCTGCTTTGACAGATGCCTCGAGCAATGGAACACGGATACCCTTCATGCCGTATTCACTCTCTTTCGTCAAAGCGTTCTTGCCAGGACCTGCATCGGAAAGGGCCGAGGTAGCTATGCTCTGTTTGCTTCCCGAAAGGCTCCGCAGATGACCAACCGACCGGCGGTTGGCATGAGGGCTCAAATACTCCTCTTTCTTGCCCTGATTTCTCATTTCTGTATATACACTGTCGATGGTCGCTTTGGCTCGAACGAATCGCTCGAAGTTCGCTTCGACGAGGACTTTCAGCGACGCGGATTTCTGATCAATTGACTGAGAGAGAATGTTGAGACCTTCGAGAAGGGACCGGATCGACGCATCGGAATGGACTTGGGAGAGGAAGAGCGCCGGGGAGAAGGAGGTCGATGAGAGCAGGAAACGATTTCGCAGGCGACTCTCCTCATCTAGCGACAAGCCGCGCATTTTGAGGATCTTGAGCACACTGTCCCCTGTTCCCAGGGGATCAGGCTCATCCATCTTGACGAGGTTCTCCCGACCATTGTTCCCTTTGAAGGAGCCTAGAGTGACCCCCTTCCGCGTGCTATTGCTGCGCTCCAAAGCAAAGTATCGGGATTTCTCCGAGCGCGAGCCACGACGTTCTAAAGCTTCGTCTTCGGAATGGTCGCTTTCATCCAGCTCAGCGGGCCATTCTTCAGGGAAAGCCGAGGGCAAGTTATAGTAACTGGCCACGTCGACGTCAGCCATGTTCGGGGGTGGGTGGGTAGGTGTTTTGGGAAATCGGCGATAACGGAGGTTGTTATTATGGGGAGAGCGATTAAGCACGGAGGGGAATGATTAGGGAGGCCACATGCAGGAAAACGCGCAGCAGCAAGGGTGGGGACAATTGGGGGGTTCAGAATTAGGGTGTTAACTATAGAAAGGATAGGCACAGCCAGGACAGGCAGTTCGGAGGGAACGTTTGGGACGTTGGGTTAGCTTGGGAGTTATCAGATCAAGCACGGGAAGCAGACTGGAGCCGGTGGACTGACGGTAACTCGCAAGTTTGTCTCTTGTTCGGTCGGACCGGGAGCGGCGGTGCCGAGAATCACTGGATGGATTAAAGTGCCTTTCTTCGCCGCGACTTGCTCTCTTCGTTCCCGCACAAGCAAACCCGCCGCCGCCTTTTCCACCTCTCTCTCTCTCTCTCTCCTCTCT